GATATAAAATATAAAAATTAAAAAATGCGAAAATATAAAATTAATAAATTATAAGTAATAAAAATTATAAAACTATATTAGCAGTAAAATTTTAAGCAATAAAAATTACATTAAAATATTATTAATAAAATGAAATTATTAATTAATGCTTGTACCAATCATTTTAAAATTGTAAATTGCTATCGAAATTTTTGCCATTTTGCGATAGTACAACAATTGCTTTTGTTAATTTATCTAAAGTTTTTGTACTTTCAATATCTCTTGATTTATAGTTAATCACAAATACGTGTTAGACAAATCTGCATAAATGTGGTAATGAACGTCGAACCTTTAATTTACTCATATTCGTGGCATTTAGCCAATGACTTAACACTTGAACTGTAACAGATTCGTTCACAAATTTGATAATTTTATCTTTTTTTAAAGGGCTTATTGTATTTCTATATCGCAAAAAAAAATAGTATCAAACTAAAAAAAAAGAAAAAATTACACAATTTATATACTAACATGGATCTTTGTTCTTTGAACGATTTAATCAACTCCATAATACCATTGATCAACTTGTTTTATTGGTTACTTTCAAACATTCGATACCTTCGGTTAAATTTAAGTTATACTTGAAAATTTGGCATATCAAATCTTGAATCGCATTTTTTAGAGGATGTTAAGCGTGAAGAAAAAAACATTTTAATTCATCTAAGTAATCACAATAAGCCTTCACCTATTACATAATTTGTCTGAAGCGTAGCTAAGGACATTTACGGTTAGACTCAATGTGATGCAAGTTGTATCTGTCTGTATGTCTGCATGTGTGATCAACCAATAAGATGTGTTGTTGTTCTGTCACGTTTTCCATTCTAATTTTGCTTACCATAAAAGTAAATTCTACTGATGCCATTTGGATTTAAATTGTGTTTATTTTCAAAATCCATAAAAGTAAATTTGGTTTTGCAGTGACATATGTACCTGATTGTACCCATTGTGAGTTAACACTTCAGACACTCCAACGGTACCTGTTACCTAGTTTCATTAATAATTTGTGAAACACTTTAGCAGGAAAGACTTCATACTTTATCTTCCTAATTTTGTAATATATTTGATAAACTTGGAGAAATATATGATAGTGCAAATTGCTTCTCATTTGTAACTGGTATTTGTATCGATAAATTCATACTGTTTACCAGTTGCAAAATATTAGGATTTGCATATAACTACAAACATAGTTAATAGATTGTTATTTCATTAAATGGCAATGGAACACCATGTTATTTATATTGAAATGACCAGATGTATTCAGAATCTTCTGAAACGTGAATCTTGATTCTGAAGCTAACGATGAGTTTGAAGGTGCAGCTGTTGAAGATTGAAACGCAATTCTATGAAAATGAAAAAACTGGTTAGAACACTAAATCTTGATTCTAGAGCTGGTAATGTTCTTGAAGACGCAGTTAATGAGATATCTTGATGGGAAGATTCAAACATATCATGAAAACTATCTGGAGTACTAGTTCTTGAACCTGGACTCAGACTTACTATTGAAGATTGAAAAATTCTGTCTCAACATTTGCAATTTCTCTATCACCATAAAATTAATGATTTAAGACTAAAAAAATTATAATTAACATGATTAAATAAATATAATAATCGCAAATTATTAACTAACATTATTACCTTGTAGATCATCATCAATTATTGATTGATTATCGTTTGAAAATGACAGAGCAACTGTTTCTTTATTTTTCTTACGTGAAGTGATAGTTCCTTCATTTTATTAGGACTATATTTAGTACCTGTAGTTATAGTTTGTTGATTATCATCATCTTTCAATATTTCGTCAATTATTAGCTGAATAATGACTCTTCTTTTTTTTGCAGTTATATTTTGATATAATAGCAGTAGTATCTGTCAAAAGTGCAAGTGAGACTTCTTTTCTCCTGCTATGTCTTGCTACGGTAATAGTATTATTATTTTTCTTTCATTTTGATAGTATAATGATTTTTAGAGAATTAAAAGTTTAGGTAGAAAGTATATCTTTTTATGTGAATTTTTTTAATAAAAGGATAATTTATAAGGTATACTATAAATTAAACTTTAAAAAACTTATTATAAAGAAAAGTTTAAATCATTTTTATTTTGTTGATTATTTATTTTAATTTATTACATAAATAATTATTTTTTATGCTATTCACTAAAAACTATGATAATCACCGTAAGCAAAATACTAAAGAAATATAATAAATCAAAATGATTGTAACCAGTTAATCCATTTAAGTACAATAATACAGTAATTGTGATTATGATATGAAAAATGTTAATTGTTAATCTATTTAAGTATATTAATTCCCTATAAATAATATGTATAAGGAAAGTATACAGAAATAATACGTTTAAAAATGTATAATAAACATAGAAAATAGTATAATAAATTTGTAAATATTTCTGTATACTAGATACTGAAAATTGTCTTTTTCTATATGCAAAAAAAATACAGAATTTATACGTCTAATCAGTATAATGTATACGTAATTTATGTTAAATTTTATACGTCAAATCAGTATATTGTATACATTATTTTTGATTACATTTTTATGTCTAATCAGTATATTATATACGTTATTTTTGGTTGGATTTTTACGTCTAATCAGTATATTATATACATTATTTTTGATTGCATTTTTTACGTCTAATCAGTATATTATATA